CCAAACTTGGCCACTTTAAGATGAGTGGATTTCAACCCCAGGAATCCCCCAGCCCCCATGGGTGGCGGGGGATTTCTGGGAGTTGAAGTCCACTCATCTTAAAGTGGCCAAGTTTGGACAACACTGTACTAGAGAGTCTAATTTCATTGGGAATAAAGTAATGCTCCTTTTTGAAATGTGTTAACTCTATAGGAAGAAGAGGGGTAAGGCTAAGAAGAAATAATTAGGTGTATGGATTGTTTGATAAGATAAAACATTATCAAGCCCACACTCCTCTCTCCTCACAAGCTTCCTTCTCCAACCTGCCACTGGAGAGGGAATCCTCTTATTTCACTTTCCAGACAACTGGAAGCAACCTGCTCACCACCCACATATAGCTGATGATGAGAGCTAAATATTATTCCCTTAGACATGGCTATTTGTGGGGGGTGGGGGGCAAGTGGCAAATGACAGAAGGTGCATTGCAATGCAAATTCAATCCACTTTATACTTGCTTCATGATGTCAAGATGAAGCTTATCATTCTAATGAAACTGATGGTTGCTGCAAATTCCCATGTCCTAGCTCACATAGGTAATGCTCTGTTTCGCTTAAGCAAGTTATACTGGGATGAGTCACTAATTCACATCATAGAAGAGATGCATTCTATAAGAAGATCACACATTGTTCACCTAGGTGTCTTTTCCATTCCTATGTAGCATTCGAGTGATGCTTGTACTGAATGCCCCTGTTCCCACCATAGGCTTAACCCATTTAACTACAAATGTAGTAAAATCTCCTTACTGCATGTTCTCGCAACACACAATCATACTGATGCTCAAAACCCACCATTCTGGCAATTCAGACCCCCCCCCATTTTCTCTGCCAAATGCTTAGAATTTTATGAGCTCCTGCAGCTAGAGTATTGACAAAGTTTCATGATATCAGTTGCCTCTTCCAGACAAGCAGCAGTGAGGCTTAGTTACTACAGCCAATTGATGTTGGAAGATGTATCCAGTGCTATCAGATCTTAGAAGTGAGTTCTATAATTGAATTGTTTGGTTTTTCAGTTGGTGTTTCTTTCTGGCTCTTTTTCTCTGAAAACTAGTTTTGCAAAACTGAGTTTAGGTGATCCCATATCACCACTTACTATGTGGAGTCAGTTTAATCAAATAGGTTTGGCATTACATTTAACCTCCTGGAGGTTACTTGGTTGGGTCAAGAGAACACTTTTTGGTATTCCACAACACATACTGTAAACCCATTGACCTACTTAGATGTACTATGAGAATAGAACAATTCAATTCAAAATGCTGGTTCTGACCTTCACAGTTTGGAACTTGGATAGCCAAAGAGTTTGAGAGCTGGACAGCCAAAGAAACACAGAAATCCCCTCAGCTGTGGCTAGTCTTGTCATGATTAAAATTGGAATCCTTTTGAAAAAGCTATGACCTTGAAAATAGCACTTTACTTTTTCTAATGGGTTGGAATGGAAACCATTCACCAAAGACATTAATGTGCTCTGGAGCTAAAGTCAGTTCCCACCTATTTTTTTAGTTTTCTTAACATGTTGCTCCATAAAGAAGCTAAAATCTTTCTATCTTAGCATATTGTATCAAATCTATCAATGTCCTTAGTTTCTCAATGTTATGTAAACCTAGATAGTTGGTTTATTCAGTAAATCATGGTTGAATTAAACATGGGTAAACCTGTATGCAGACATTACCAATACAGCTCCTTTAAGTATCCCATAATATGCAAAACAAGATTTTAAATGGTGATCTATTTCTATCATTCCACATTAAATTCTATTGGTTGCTTATACCAAAAGGAAGAGATTCTAGTCCATTTTTTCCATAAAATGCTAGCAAAACCAAAATATGAGCATTCATGGGACGGATGGGAGAGGGGGCAGGTAAATAATGACACCATCATGTGAATGCTGCATCTTACATACCCCACACAGGTGTCATCAATTTGGTTTCATTACAGTTTGCTGCAGACACTGCTGGGCCAAAACTCAAAATAACAATAGCAGTATTAAATAAATATTCTTAATCAGTTAATGTGTTTGCGTGTGTGTGCTTCCAAGTCAGTCTTGACTCCTGGTACCTGCCTGGACAAGTCCTTGCAGTTTTCTTGGTAAGGTTTTTCAGAAGTGGTTTGCCCCTGCCTGCTTCCTAGGGCTGAGAGAAAGCGACTGGCCCAAGGTCACCCCATTGGTTTTGCGCCTAAGGCGGGACCAGAACTCGTAGTCTCCCAGTTTCTTAACCACTACACCAAACTGGCTAATACTGACAGCCATTTTACTTGATGTATTTATTTATGTGGCCACCCAAGTCCTTAAGATTGTAAAATCTACAACAGTCTTCCACATCTCATTTACCCATCTAATGATGGTTCACACCTAAAGCCCTTTTCCCGTGCAACTTTCCAAATGCACAGAATCATAATAGATTCCCACTCCTATCTTGCCAATATACAGTACATGCTACCAAAATCACCACCTCCCTTTGAACTCAACTGAACTTTCTTCAGAGAAGATATGCAAGAGAATATATGATGTGTGTGTGTGTATGTGTGTGTGTGTGTGTATATATATATATATATATATATATATATAT